AAAAAAAGAAACTACCAAAAAAAATTTTTTATTTTATAAGATAAATCTTATTTTTTAGTAAAAAAAATTTAAATTTAACATTAACTCAAAATTTTTTTATAATTTTCTTTCTTTCTATTACAAATTTTATATAAATTACTCATAATTATGAAAATAGAAATATTTTGTAATATTTTTTAAATTTATAATTTCTTTATAATCTAATTATATTATATAATATATTGCATTTTTTTTTAACAAGATATAAAAAATAAATATACAAATAAACCTCTATATAATTATATTCTATAAAAGCATAATTTTTATAATTATTTAATTTTGTAAAATAGATTTAAATAATAATAAATTACTTTTATATTGATTATAATCACTATCATTTTTAACATTTTTTTAATAATGTAATACTATCATAAGTTTATTAAATTTAAGTTAGAATTATATAAATATATATAAGTAAAAGTAAAAATAAAATATAAAATTATGATTATCACCTATAACTCTATCTAATACCTATTTAGATTTATTAAATCACTAAAATTTCTTATTATAAAACTAAAAGTTTTATATTTAATAATTTAATTTTTCATAAAAATTCAAATGATATTATCAGTATCTACTGTATTAAAAAATTTAATTAAATAAAATTAAATATTAAAATTAAAGTAATTTAAGAATTAGTAAAATATAAAATATTAAAAATTTTAGTTTATTACATTCTTTTTTCATTTTAACTAAAATGTTATTTTTCTTTCTTTTTTTAATAGTTTCATAAAATCTATATTTAAACTAGTGCTCTACAAAATCAGGATCTGAATCTGATCTAAATCTGATAAATCTATTGAAATTCAGATTTGATCTGAATCTGACAGATTGAATCTCAAATTCAGATCTAACAGATCAGTTTAAGTCCAAATCTGATCTGATCTAAATCTGAAAGTATTATTAAAAAAATGAAATTTCAGTTCTAAAAGAGATCTAAAAATGTTTTTTTTTCAATAAAAGAAACCTTTTTAGCTTTAAAAGAGTTTTAAAAATCATTTCTTTTCATTGAAAGGAACCTTTTCAGTTCTAAAAGAGATCTAAAAATATTTCTTTTCAATAAAAGGAATCTTTTTAGTTCTAAAAGAGTTCCAAAAAGTTGTTCCTTTCAATAAAAGGAACTTTTCAGCTTTAATTCAGATCTGATAAATCAGATCTGAATCTAAATTGAATCTGACAAATTAGATCTGAATCTGAATTTGACAGATCAGATCTGATCTGAATCTGAATCATAATTAGATCTGAATCTGACAGATCTAATCTAAATCTGATCTGTCAGATTCAGATTAGATTCAAATTGATTCAAATTCATGTGGAATACTAATTTAAATATAAAAAGTAAAAATAATAAATTTAACTATTGAATCAAATATTTTTTTTAATATTTAAAAAAAATTTTTTCTCAAAAACAAAAAAAAAAATTCAAAATTATTTTTTTTGAAAGAAAGATATATAATTCAATATTCAAAGAAAGATTTAAAAATCAAATAAAATCTGTTTAAATTATAAATAAAAATTAATTATCATTTTGTTTTTTTTTAATTCTGATAAAAATATAAATATTTATATAATTGCATAAAAAGATACTATACTATTCTTTTTTTTTATATAAATCTATAGATATTAGAAATCTTTTATTAATTAATTATATATAATATATAACTAGTCCTTATATAAATCTGAATAATATTAGAAATTATTAGTAATTTATTTATATTAATTAAAGATAGTCCTCATAATTTTTTCAAATTTCAATTGAATTATAATTTAATTGTATTATAAAAAAATTTAATTATATCATAAGTTATAACTTAATTATATTATTTTTTTTAATTGCAATAATTATCTTTAATAAGAACCTTTATTTTGAATGTTTTCTTATTTCTTTAAATCAAAGAAATAATTATTATTATTAATAATATTTAATATTAAAAATAACCTTTTTTATATATCATTGAATTTTTATTAAAATTTATAAAAGATAAGTTTTTATTTAAATTTTTAAAAAAAAGAATTATAAAGTAATATTTAGATTTTTTTAAAATTTTTTAATAAAAATTTAATAAAAATATTATTAAAATTAAAATGAAATTATAAATTCTTAAAGATAATGATCTAAAGTGAAAAAAAATTTAAAGTTATTAACTTTTATTAAAGTATCAAATTTATTATTATAAAAATTACTTGAATAGCCTTTGATTTTAACTAATTTAATAGAAAGTTAAAGAACTTTAAACATGTGATAAATTAAAATACAAATTGTATAATTTGAAATTTTTCTTTAGTTCTAATTATAAGATTTTCATTTTTAATAAAATTGTTAAATTTATTTATAATTAATTAATAAAAGATTTTAATAAATAAATAATAATGATAATAAATAATACAAAAAGTTCAACTTTGATTAATAAAGAAAAATTAGTAACAGATATTAAAAAATCATAATAAAATTTATTATCTAACTTAAAATAGATCAATCTGAGATCTATTTTAAATTTAATAAAAATTAAATTAATTAAAGAATCATCTATATAAATATAAGAGTTAATGTTTATATAATAGTTTTATTAAAAACATAAATTAATTTTAATAAGTTTTTTCTTTAATATAACTTATAATTAGATTATCATTAATAATAAGTTATTTGAAATTAGCTTTAAATTATTTAATAAATAAAGTTTAATCTTTTATTAGATTTATTGTCTAATCATATATTTCTTTTAAAGCTAATATTAGTGTGATATTATTAAATTAGAAGAAGAATAAAGTATAATATAATAAGATATAGGATAAAATTTAAAAGCTTTTTCTATAATAATAACTTTATTTACTTTCTATTTATAGTTAACTTTTAATATAGCAAACTCTTAACATAACAAATTTTTTGAATAAATATAATAAAAATACTCTTGTTATAGCGAATTGGCCAACCAAATCTCTTAAAATTTTTACTATAGCTTTATAGCGAAGTTGAGATCTAGAACATAAAGTTTGTTATAATAAGAGTTAACTGTATATATATATAAGATATTAGTAATAAATAAAATAGTTTATTCAAATTACTCAAAAAATATTTATAAATTTTTAAAAATGAAAGTCTATTAATCATATATTTACTATTTGGTTTAATTATTTATCTTTTAAAAATTTTTTTAATGAGAAGTATCCATCAACTTAAATATAATTTTAAGTAATTACTATGTTCTGATAATCAAATTCTTATTTATTTTTAATGATTATTTGATCTAAATGATATCATAAGTTATTATAAATTTTTTTTTTTTGTTATCTATTCTAAATTCTATACTATCTATTTCTGTATAATTATTATTATTAGAATTAATCTAATTTTATTTTTTACTAATTTATTTAAAGATGATTCTTATAATTATTTTCAAATTTTAATTAAATTGCAACTTAATTATATTATAAGAAAATTTAATTATACCATAAATTATAACTTAATTGTACCATTTTTTTTTTAATTACAGTTATCTATTTTTAAATCTATTATTAATATTTAATACTAAATTAAAAACAGCATTATAAATAGCCAAAATATTTTTTTATTTACTATAATCTTTATATATAATTTTATATATAATATCTCTTCAATTTAACAAGTAAATGTTATCTTTATCTAGAAATTAATTCAAAAAATTAAACTATATTTTGAAAGTATTATAAAATTCTTTTTTAAGTTTTTAAAAAAGATAAAGAGATCTAAAGGAATAGAATTACTTTTAATTTAATTAACTAATAATAGTTAATACCTAAATTGATATTTATATAATTATATTTAATAAACTAAATATCATTTTCATTAAATAATAATAAGAAAATTTATCAAAGTCCTATTTTAATTCATTGGTTAAAATGCAAAAAATTAAATATATAATAAATCAACTTAAAATTAATCTAAAATCAGTAAATCATTAAAAATTAATTAAAATTTAATCTAATTAATTGGCATATATCAAGAATCAGTTAAAATTTAATTACAATTTTAACCTATTTTATTTATAATTGATTGTCATATTTATAGCCAATTAGTATATATCAAAAATTAGCTAAAATTTAATGATTCTTATTTATAGTCAATTGATATCTAATTAATATATATTAAAATTTAGCTAAAATATATTAAAATATTCAATTTATTTTTACAAATAATATTTCTATTAATTTGATTAATAGCTAAATATTCTTTTACATTTTGCTAGATTAAAATTTGATAATTTATCAATACAAGTTAAATTTAAAATAATAAACTAATATTATACAATTATAACTTTTTAGATAAAAATCAATATTTTATAATTTAGCATTTTTTTATTAAAATATATTGATATTTAAAAAACTTATTAAAATAGAGTTATTTATAAATAATATTTTATTTATCTATTATAATAATCGTTATAATAAATTATTTCTGATTTATTATAAATACTTAATGCATAATAATAGTATTATTTTTGATTATTTTAAGTTCATTTTAATTTAATCTAGTGATAAATTATTTTGATTTATTTTAAATTTCATATTGATTTAATATATAATAAAGGTATTATTTCTGATTTAATAAATTCATTAAAGTATTATTTCTGATTTTTTTAAATTTATTTTAATTTAATGCATTAATAAATTATTTTTAATTTATTTTAAATCTAATGTATAATAAAAGTATTATTAAATATTTTATAATTTTATATTTTCTTTTATTATATATTATTATTAAATTGTTTTGGATTTATAATAGTTTTATAATTTAATCAAATATAAATTTTTATAATAAAAAAGATATAAAGTTCTAATTAATTCAGATTATAAATCTTAAAAAAAATAAAAATCCTTAATCTAAATTATTAAAAATTGAATAAATTAAATTTTTTAGATAATTTGATAATTTAGTTTAAATTATAATTATTGATATATTAATATTTAATTAGAATAAAATAAAATCAATCTTTTGATAATTTATTTTGATTAATATTATTTTAATTATTTAATTCATAATATTTTAATTAAAAGGTGCATTTTATTTTATTAAAATAATCTAAAAATAAATTTATAAAAAATAAAAAATTTTGGTTTTTCTTTTTATTGTCAAGTAAAGTTTGATAAATGTTTGATACTTTCAAATAATTAAAATAAATATGTATTTTTTCAGAACTTTATATAATTATATTTTATATAAAATTGACTTACCTGATTTTCGGGAAAATAATAAACACCTTTCAAATCCTTGATGATCTTTGATAACTTTAACACATTTCCACCCAGCGAAAATTTCTTTGACTTTTTCTGCCATTTTACTTCCTATTTCTAAAATTATTAAACCATTCTCCTGCAAAATATTAAGTTTCTTTACATATGCATGTTCTAAGGACTCGTATAACAAACGATAAAATTTATATCCACCTTCTTCAGCAAAAAGTGCATTAGATGGCTCGAGAATACGTGGATCATCATTTGAAAGTAGCCTATAAACATCAAGATATGGTGGATTACATACAATAACATCAAAACACATATTATATATTGGTTCATAGTTGTGAAGGTTTGAAAAATCAACATTTTGAAAATCACAATTATTATTGTTGGAAATAAAAGAATTCAAGTGTCTTTCCGCATTTTTACGTGCAATATCGAGAGCAGCAGAATTAATATCTAATCCTAATCCAAAGACATGAGGCAAAGTTGTCGTAATTTGAGATAAAATATAATGTAACACCGAAATAAGTATACATCCTGATCCTGTTCCACAATCTAATATTGAAAACCTATTATAACCGTCTTTTTGACCTTTCCAGAATCCGGAATCCAATTTGCTAAAATATATGTCTATGACTGCGTGTACTAAATATTCCGTTGATTTCCTAGGAATCATTGTGTCCTGGCTAACAAAAAACTTCAATTCAAAAAATTCCTAATAATAAAATGGATAACGTGTGAAAATAAATAAATAAATATATATATATATATAGTAGATGAATTTGTGTTTAATACCTTTTCTCCAGTAATATATGCCACTGGCTTCATTAGTAAACTATCTGAATCAGAATTATCAGTTATGTCAATTCCATGTCGTTGTAACTCTTCAATAACACCCCTTTTCTTTTGTTCAAAAAACTTTAGTTCGCGTTGTCGTACCGTCTGATTAAATTATTCAAACAATACATCATCAAACGCGTCATTTAATCGTCCTCATAAGAACCAAATACTTTAATTGAAAATTCATTAATTATAAACATCATTCTAATTGAAAATTACTTTACCTCGAACTTTTCTGGCTCATCGATAGACACTTTCACTTCTTCACCAGTTACAGGATGACTGAAAACAACTTCCAATAAAGCCATCATTATACTTTTATCTTTGTATGATTTTAATTCTTTGGAACAAGAATTAGAACCAACGATAGGATGACATACTTGAACAAAATATTCTCGTATACCAGCGCTTGAAATTGTAGTTGAATTATTCAAAACAACGTCCAACGTTGTGAGATACTTTTCTTCACCAGATGTACTACGAGTGAAGTCGATATGTTGTAATGCGAAAGGTGGTGCGTGTTTATGGAAAAATGTTTTTTCATCCAAAGAAGGAAATTTACCATGACAAAGAATTCGATACCTTTGTTGGATGACACCACTTTTCAGTAATGTCATAAGTTTAGTTTTTATCTCATTAATCTTGGAGACAATAATCTTCAAACATAAAAAAGGGTAATTTAAGATTTAAAAATTATATTAAGATATTTAATTATTGTAAGAAACTTACCAAACCATTGACTGCTCTTTGTATTTTATTAATGCAAGTATATTCTTTCCCTTCTTTAACAAGTCCACTCCCACCATCCAAAACGAACGGCAAACTTTCTTGTAAGTCCCGCATAGGCACACCTGCTTTCTTACAAATGATAGCTAAGTGTTCATCCTCTAGAATTACTACAACAGGAACTTTTAATCTATCTCTTTCCAAAGCGAGTTTATTAATTTGTAAACGTATTATATCGTCTTTACAGAGTACGCGTGCACTTTCAGCGGTCTTTCCATTAACAAAGATTTCGCCTCGTTTGAAGCATTCCCTGCAAAGTTTCTTGGAAATAATTACAGATCTGAAATTTTTACAGACAAATTTTTCGAGACGCGTACCAGCTTCATTTTGTTGAATTATGCGTGTCAAGTCATAAATTAAGTCGGAATTCACGGACTCGAAATGCATTTCTATTTCCGATGTTGTCATAATGTCTATCAACAAACTATTTATAAGTATTTTACAGGGGTAAAGAATTCTATTAATACTATTGTCACAATCTTAGGATCAGTTGTAACCTAATCAAGGGTAACATCCTTAATCCATAACCTACAAAATCTTAATAGAGTATCCAACAACGCCGAAAGGAAGTAGTATATTTTTTTTTTTCCTCAACATCTTTTTGAACATACTTTACAATAAAAGAAACAATTTTAACATTTTAATAACTCACAAATGTCAAATAATTCGCGTCAAAGCATTTCTGAATCACCCGCTCGTGCTGGTGGGGAGAGTAATAACCTACAATCGCAAAATAATTTAAAACCTGTTCAAGTAAAATTAGTTCTTCTCGGTAAGTTTTTTACCATCGTGCGTCAATTTTAAATGCTTATTAATCCAACTGGTTGTTAAATATCCATATAGCTTTTCATCACGAGACATTAGACTTCTTTTTTTTTATAGAAATACTTTAGGAAATGATAGAAATTAATATACCTTCTATATATTTTGTAATTTTGAACTTTATATAGGCGAAGCTGCCGTAGGCAAATCTAGCCTGGTACTCAGATTCGTCAATAACGACTTCCAAGAAAATAAAGAACCAACCATTGGTGGTAAATGGAATTTTGTTGATCCCATAATATATGTTGCTATTCAAAATAAATTATTTCTTTCGAAATAACATTGTTTAATTTATAAAATTATTCAGCGGCCTTCTTAACGCAAAAATGTCGTTTGGAAGACAAAGTAATTAAATTTGAGATTTGGGATACAGCTGGTCAAGAGAGATTTCATTCTTTGGCTCCAATGTATTATCGAAATGCCCAGGCAGCTGTCGTTGTCTATGATGTCACAAAATCTGTAAGTTTTAGTATATGTATTTATCCCTTTGAGTTAATATGAATTTAAATACCACAATTGGACTAATTTTCAATAAATGAAATTGGTGAATGGCTTCAATTAGCAATCGCTTGAAAAAGCTAAATCTTGGGTAAAAGAGCTTCAACGTCAGGCAAATCCTAATATTGTCATTGCTCTTGCAGGTAACAAAATAGATCTTGTTCAACCCGAAGAAGGCGAAGAAGAATCTCCAGAAAGTGGGAGACAAGTTCCTACTGATGAAGCTAAAGCCTATGCTGCCGAAGCAGGCTTGCTATTTTTCGAGACTTCGGCAAAGAAAGGTGATGGTGTTCGGGACGTTTTCACGGAAATCGGTATGAATACTTGCCAAATTTGATTGTATTATATTATATGAAATCAATCAATGAATAATAACTAATGATATATTTCACAGCTAAAAAAATTCCGCTTGAGCTCATGATGTCCCCTCGCCCACGTCAAATTGTTAACGGAGGACCAAGTCCACTTCCTGGTCTACCAAGGGTGAATGGGCAAAATCCCGGTCAAAGTTCTGGATGTTCTTGTTAATTTTACTTTTTCGTACATATGATATCGATTTTTATAGATTATTTTGATCGTATAAAATTACGCGAATACTCTTAATAGAATCTCTCGCATAACGAATAATCTTTATGAAGAATAACTTTTTTTAATGGAACAAGAAAGTTTTGAAACATATTTGATTTATATGCATTAAGCGGATATAATTTACATTACTATTACAATTTTATTCATATCGTTCTTTATATATTTGTTTGTGACAAGAATAATATCATTTGTTGGGATCTTTTTCATTATATAATTTTGGAGAAGGGCTTTTGGACGATTTTAATGGATGCGGGAACGCGTCATCTTTTTATCGCTTTTATATATAACAAACATTGAAGAAAAGAAGTAAATTTAGTAGGTTAGATATTTATTTGCTTCTTTTTTTTGATTTCTTACATTTTACTTTTTTTTTTTTTTTTATATACTACTATAAATTTTATTCAATTATTTTTATATGCAGTCTTTATATAAGCCCTTTTGGAAAAATAATAATTTTCTTTTTTCTTATGGGGACAATCTATAAATTTCATAAATTTTTTGTATAACAGCTAAGATTTTTTTCCCTCGTTTTCTTTCCATTAAAATATTTCTTACAACCTCCTTATGTATGAAAAGGTGTAAATAAAAAAAAAAAAAAAGAGATCTTTTTGGTTTATATTTATCTTTAATAACTACTACAAAACAAATTTTTCTTGGAAATAATACAAAATTTTATTAAAAAAAAAGATTACGTAATCATTGATCATTTATTTATAACAAAAGCTCAAAACTGCAAGCAGTTCTGCAAGCCACATTAGTTATTGATATGATACTTATGATGCTGTGTATGGAATAGCACCAAAAAGATTTGCGACACAAAACTATGGTAACTCGGAAAATCAAATCTTATAGAAAATATATTTCATATGAGTGATATATTAGAATTGGCTGAATAATAGGTCAACGCCATATTAGATACAATATGAATAAAAATGTATTATATCTTGGAATAGAACAATGGATGGATGTAAGCATGTAAATTTTATTTTGTTGTTTGAAACCATTTTTGATAAAAAATGCTTATTTATAAATTTGAATGACATTCTGCAGAAATCTTTTGGGAGCATCCCTCAATCATGGGATATACCCTAGTTTGAAAATTCAATCCCAATTGGATCGTCCGGGATCCAATCCAAATTTAATATATTTGTTATGCAGTGCAGAAACTAAAATTAATAAAGATCTGCAGACTTTCCGTTTCGCGTTTTTTTACCCGCAGTATAAAATCGCGTAAAGGATACTTTGCTATTTGCTATTGGTATATCTATTAAAGTTCAGATTTTTGATCGCAATGTCCACCTCAAAATCTTCCATACTTAAGGATATCGTAAATAAGAACTTACAAACAATGTTTGATATGTTAAAGACGCGTCCTAATAGAACAAATTGTTTCTCGGAACAAACACAAAATGAAACTACTGTACTTGACACTAAATTTCGGAATTTGGCAAATGGAACTTTATCCGCAATTTATGAGTTGGAAAAGGTCGAAAAATCAAAAGTTGTGCAACTAAAAATCGATAAGGCGCTTTTGACTCTTATTACAAGACTTGTTGAATTTGGTTTGGTCAGTAACTTATCAATAATTTTTTTAATTATCCTTGAAAATTTCTAATTCCATTGAATATATTTCTCAATGATAGTATACCGACATAATCGAACCGTTACAGAAATTGCGATCAAGACTTTTGATTTATTTTAAACCTACCAATATCTCCGGAATCAAAACGGTAGATTCGAAACAAGCTGTGGTACATTTAGAGCTTTTAATGCGTATAATTTCAAAGGCAATTAATGGCCTTCACGATTCAACAGGTATTTTATTATAATAAACTCTTATTTAAAATACAAAAATTCATCAAAATTTTTTTTTATCTAAAAAAATATATATTATATATATATTATTTTATGATTTTTAGTGGAGGACATACTGAGTACATTTTTGAAATTATGTTCCTTTTACATGCATTCATTTATTTTGACTACGCGATTCGATTTATCTAAATTTTTCGAAACCAGTTTATGGTTTGCTCTTAATTTTGAGAGAAAATGTAAAAATGGTAGTTAATGAAATAGTAATTTATTTTATTTTTTTTTTTAAAAAAAAAATCAACGAAATTCATTATTTCTAATTAAGTATATATGAAATTCAGTACGATCTGCTTTAGTATTTCAAGAATTGAACGCGTTTTATGATGAAATGTTGATATTGGTGGAGAAATATATTTATAATGTTACCGAAAATCCAAAATTCTTGATTTGGCGTAATCATTATTCATATGTTGCTCGAAAGGTAAAAAATTTAATTTTTGATAAAGAATCGTTATCTTTTCTACTACTTCTAATTTTTATGGTTTAAATTGTTAGAGCAACAATTGCAAGAAATCATTAGAGTTTTATGAATCAATTATTAGTTCGTTACAAGAATCATCTCAGTATAAACATTCAGCACAAGATTTAGGAAACTTGTTACAAATCGCAGATTTAAGGATTGAAATTGCACACTTTGCATTACAAAATCTGATATGCACCAAACAAAGTATTTTACCCATCTTGTCTTTAAAATATATGTATATATGTATATGTATGTCATTTTTTTATATTTAATTTATTAATTTTCATAATAGCAAAAGATACGATAAAACGAATTAAAGAGGCGCAATTTGTTTTTAATGAACTATCAAAAAGTAATCTAATGGAAAAGCTGTCCAAAAAAGAAATCAGTGCACTTTCACAGCTTTTCAAGGTGGTTGAATTGATTCGAGAACCAATTATAAAAATAGTGGAATTCATAGCATCACAAGAGTTTAATGAAGAGAGCGTTTGTACTTGTCTTAAAGATTTGATTCAAGCTATTTCCATCTGTTTTAACTTGATTTGTGAAAATTATTTTGTTGAGTACAAGGTATGAAAGTATAATCGACTAATTATTTTAGGAACTGTATTAACTAATCTTTTTATACTATTATTTAAAGTCTCATTATTTGCGAGAAAAGGATTCAACTTATTTAAATCCGGAAAACATTGTGCAAATTATTATTGATATATATGATGTCCTTTCCCAATTAGAATTTAATTTATATCAACAGAATGGTTATAAGAACTGCATGTCTTACATCGATCAAGCATACAAGATTGTTCAGCATACGTCATGTAGAGAAGGGCTTCATTCTATTTTAAGAGCGTATTGTCGCATTGGCAATTTTTATTATAAATCGGGTGAATATAAGGTTCGTGGTTGTTTATGTAAATATATGAAGTGTTATATAATTAGGATTGGAATTAACGTTAACAAAAAAAAAAAAATGTTTTATTTTAAAAGAAAGCTACCAAAGCTTTTGAAAAATCTCTAAGATATATTCCTCAACGAGATTTCCTTCAATTCTCGAAATTGGTTTCTTCACAAACAGTTTTATCCGCTTCTCAAAAACTGCCGTTAATTCCTAACATAATTGATCGGTATATCAATTCAACTTATATTAATTGTCCAGATGGCGAATTCACCTCAATTCAAGATATTTTCTTGGATGCAGGATGTAATTTGATCGATTCTGCAGGGCTGTTAGAATACGAGTTGCGCGTATTAAAGGAGCGTATATTAACCTCGCGTAATATTCAATTCGATTTCTTAAATGTGGAAAAGTCATTAATTGATACTTTGTTGTCTTGTTATCTTCCTGAGGAATTTCCTATTCGGCGTGCTAGGTCAGTCAATGAAATTATTACAATAAATTGTTTCAGGTTTTTTAATTTATGTTAATCATGAATTTTATGTAAATTAAATAGGATACTAATTGAAAAAGTTAAGATTATGATATGCATAGAAAGTGATTCAGGTCAAGGTTCTGCATTAAAATTTATCGAGGGAGCAATTGATTTATTAAAAACCGATGTATTGTTTATTTTCAATTTCTTCGACTTTTTAAACTTTTTCACCCTTGAATAATAAGAAAAATTACCTTAATTATAGAATTTTGGCAAGGACAATAATCTTGGACATCTTTGTTCTTATTACTTGGCGGCCGCTTATTCTTTGACTGGTATTCTTACACTTGATTCGGAGAATCTCTCAAACGATTCGTTTGAAAGTGCGTTTATCATATGGGATGGTATTTTAAAAAATATTCCTCCTTATAAACTTGGATGCACCATTAAGCATAAACATATAGAAATCGCCAAGGAAAAAATTGATGAAATTGAAAGATTATATGGTCACCTTCGTATCCTTAATACAATTACAAAATTTTTTATAATCAATTAATGTTTATAATCATATATTTCTTGACAACAATTTTAATAATTTAAGAATTGCTTGTGGATTTTTTTGGGGTCACAAATCAACCAAGTAACAAAATCAAAACACTGAATATAATGTTAAGTTTAAATAATGGAATTCGAGATACAACTGACAAATATTCGGGTTAGTTAATTAATTTGATAAATTATTTATTAAAAGAAAGTTTGAATTATTAAATTGTTTGAAATTTTAAACTTAGATTCGGTAATTTTATATGCACAGATTGGTCAAATGTATTTAAACCTTGGATATACTGGTAGAGCTGGAATGGCTTTTGAAAGAGCTAAAGATATCCTTGATTCCAATACTTGTTTGAATGAAGCAAGACTGTCGTGGATGCTGGGATATAGCCACTATTTATGTGCAATTGGTTATATGGATAAAAGGTAAATAGTCATTTTATATATTTTTTTATTTTATTTAAGTTATATTCATTTTATTGAATATTAGTTTCCATTCTTTTAGCGTTTCATTTTTTGATCAGACGATTTTGGTGGCAAATAACAGAAATGCTCAAAAGGATCCTGTGGTCGCAGCTAGATTGGCTAGGCAACGAAAGAATGAGCAAATGTTGCTCGTGGACGCTTCTTACACGAGATCTCGTATTTTAATACGTTTAGTAAGTAATTATATAATTTCTTCTGTTTATTTTGAATTATTTAAATTAGATTATCATTTTTAATTTATTTCCTACTATAGGGCCGTTTAGAAAATGCCATAAGTGACGTCACACAAGCAATTCACTTACTTAACAGAATGATGAGAAATGTTAATCTTAATGGAAAACACCATTATCATGATAAAGTGAACGCAGAAGTTAATCCTTTTCTTGTTGAAAATAACGTGACTAATAAATGTTCAACTGGGATAAATGGGGAATTTTTTGGTGGTTTTTTAAATTTAACCGCACAAAGATGGAAATGGCGTGTTTTACAAGTATTATGTGCTAGCATTTAATTAATTTATTGAATATACAACATTTAAATATCAACCACTGTTTTTTCTTATTTTCACAGATGCTTTTTGAATGTAATCATCATCTAGGTCAATTACATATTTTACGAGGAAGCGCGAAAGAGGCTGATTACTGTTTTCAACAAGCATTTGAGTTAATTCAATCAACTAAAGCGAAAACGAACATGAGTCGTGTTTTACTAAATTTTGCCGAATTGGAATTCCGAAGGCATTGTTGGAAAGAAAGCGAAGAAAAGATCAACCAAGTCATTGAATACCAACGAAAAGTTTGTAATATGAAAAGTTGATTATATCTTCGAACCATTCTACGTTTATTTTATTATGTTTATTCTTTTTCATCAAAGGCTATCATCTTTCGAAAAGAAGAAGTTCTTGCCAAATTATGCTTTGGTGACTTCAAATATCGAGAGGGGGATTTCAAATTTAGGCAAGGTGATTTCGATAATCAAAAACGGTGTTATGAATTTGCATTAGAATATTATAGTAAGGCTGTTGATATTTTGACCAATATTATGAAAGAGGAATACATTTCTAAAATCGAACATCTAGACACAAGGTTTCATAACATTTTTGTTATTTAAAATTTTCTGATTAAATTTGACATATATAAATTTTCGGCTTATTTAAATTATAGTGTATTACAAACACCAAGAAGCAAGAAATTTATTTCATACTCTGACACACCAAAGGATAAATTTACAGGGAAAGGTAACTGTTTGATTTTTAATGAGATTGAAGATTGAATATAATTGATTCATAAACTTTAATAAATTATAAACGAATAGCCGATTATGAATGCTGTTTACTTGCATATCTGAAAAGTGAATTGTTCCGTCGTCAAGGTTTGTTTAATATATAATTTTTGAGATATTCATAATTAAATATCTTATATAAGTACAAAAACAACATGGTTTTTTTAGGATTGATTTTAAGCAAACGAGGTAAAATTGAAGAAGGACTTAGGTTGATCGAACATGAAAAGTTAATGAACCAAACATGCCTCGAAAAGGTTAGATACTTTAGAACAATGAATATTGTCTACAACTAGTTAAATATATTATATGACTAGAATTTGCTTTTTTTTACAGGCTGAACATCTACTTATTTTGAGCAAAGTTAAAATGTTGGAGATTACCGCCAAACTAACGAATCAGAATCACTTGTTATATGAAAATGTTCTTGACTCTGGTATTTTATTTATTTTATTTTGCATTATAATTTGTGTAGTATAATCTGAATTTATTGTGAAATATTCTGCACAGTACTTTCGTTACCAATGATGAATGTTCAAAAAAAGTCGTGTAGAGTTAAACAATCCATGACCTTAACAACGTTAGTGATAATCGAAGAAATCGACAAGACACTTGAATGCTTGATGGAAGTTTACGATTTGGCATATGAGTGTGGGCCAACGCATTTGTTACAAGAAACTTCTCTATGCATATCTACGGTAACTATGATCAAAGCTTACGGGCAAAGCCAATTAAATATTGATCAAAGCGAGATGGCTACCATTTGTGCCTTTTATTTGGGTAAAAAAATATTTATTTATTTATTTAAGTTTTTTGATTTAAATTTAGTAAATGTAACTTAAATTTTCGGTATTTAGAGATGACAAAAGCACTTACAGCGAAGAGAGAATTCTATACTGCATTGAACGAGAAATGTAAAGATCCTTTTTTGTGTTTTGACAATCAGTGGCCACAAAAAATTTCTACATTACCATCCGAGTCTGATATTTTGCAGAATGAAGATGAATATCAGTTATATGATGATGAAACTGTATCACGTCGAAGCTTTTTAACGGCGCTAACACAACGATATAAAAATGAACCTATCTTGACTTATAATGAGTTTCAAAAAGAATTTTTGGATATTTTGCCTCCTAATTGGACGGTTTGCTCAGTTTCTGTTGACATTGAAACAAATGATATGTACATTTGTCGATATCAACGGAAAATGACTCCACTTCTGCTTCGATTACCATTGAAACGTCAATCAAGCAGGGACGGAGAAAGTGATGTGTTTAGTTATAAAGAGGCAATTCGAGAATTTAATGCTATTTTGGATTTATGTAATCAAATTATGAGTAATCCTTCAACATCAAAAGAATGGTGGAAAACAAGGAAGGGATTGGATGTACGACTAAAACATTTGCTGTACAATATAGAGAATTTATGGCTTGGTGGTTTCAAGGTAAATTTCGAATTAACGCATTTGAAAGCTTTATGAAGATGTTAGTTAATAAATTGATCTTTTTATTAGGGGATATTAATGGCAGATAAACAACAATCTTCCAATCGGATATTAAAATTTAAAGAAAAGATAGATAGCTTATTATTCAAGTGTGAAAGTGGAAAATCATCTAGAAAGCGTTCAAAAGTTAAGAAGCTTGATATTGAAATAGAGCTTTGCAAATCATTTCTGCGACTGGGTTCAGATGCACAAGATCAAGATATTGAGGATATTCTTTATTTCCTAGTTGATGCGTATAATAAATATAATGATCAACAGGTTGGATATGACGAAATTGACTTGGATCAGGTTTGTTATATTTTTGATTATAAATAATGAGTAGTTTTGCACGCACTAGTTTAGGATTTTGTATATTTAGTGTTACATTTGATCTTAAACTGCGTATTGAAAACAACTAGTTACTTAACGTTACGCTCTCTCACGTTTTTAAATCTTTAAAGCTTATTATTGATGTTCAAGACGCGTTATCTTGTGATGATACTATGAGCTCCAATGTTGATGACCAACATGTTATTTTAATTCTTGATAAATATGTACAAATGTTACCATGGGAAAGTCTACCATGTTTACGATCACAAGCTGTTTCAAGATTACCATCTCTTTCATTTTTGAGAGACAGAATTATGTTAACAAATCATGTTAATAACAAGCAAGACAATAAACAAGGATGGTTGGACTATGTCATTGATCAGCATAAATCATTTTATGTTCTTAATCCAAGTCAAGACCTGAAACATACACAAAATGAATTTGAAGGTTTTGTAAAAAAGTATGTATCTTTAAAAATTGGTATTTTATTTTATATCTTTAGGAAAACATGAAATAATCTTTTTAAAAAGCATTAAAGGTTCAGATGGAATTACTGGACGAATTCCTACCGATCAAGAATGGATAGATGGTCTTGCAAATAAAGATCTTTTCATGTAAGCAAAACGATCATTATTTATTTGCGTGTATATAAATATATCTATAAAAACTACATTATTTGACATTATCATTAAGGTATTTTGGACATGGCGCTGGTGAAGCATATTGTAAGAAAAATAAGCTTAGACATTTGGATCGTTGTGCTGTAACACTTCTATTCGGTTGTAGTAGTGGACAATTAAAATTAGGAGGAGAATTTGATCCTTCTGGTATCATTTTAAGTTATTTATTAGCTGGAAGGTAAGTTTAAAATAAAAATCATGAATATATTATAATAGGTTTCAAAGATACTAATAAATTTTATTATGATAGCCCGGCAATTGTTGCAAATTTATGGGATGTCACTGATGTGGATTTTGATCGATTTAGTAAATCTCTGTTTCGGAATTGGGGATTAAATCCTAATGGAGAAACCACAATATCAAAAAAAAAGGTATCATTGGTTCAAGCTGTTACAATTGCAAGGAATGCTTGTAAATTAAAATATCTAATTGGTTCAGCTCCGGTGGTATATGGTATACCATGTTATTTACAGAGCAAATAATTTGTTGATTTAAGCTTTACAAAATATGAAAATATATATTTATATATATGCAAATTTGTTTTTTTTTAATGTAACAAAAAAGTAAAAATTCTAATAAATCCTTTTTATTAAAGAATTTAATGTTAAAAATTGATTTTGACCAATAAAATTTGCAATTAAAAATGTAATCATTTTTGATCATGATTAATGCTATAATTGCTAAAATCCAAATTTTACAAATTATCAATATCTTTAAGTTTGATAATTTTAACAAAAGCTATATTTTTTGAATTGTTTTTGCTACTCATCTTCAACGGATTTATTATATAAATTAATTTTTATTTATCTAAGAAACTTATTAACTTAATTTTTATATTAAAATTTCTTTTCTAATAAATTATATTTATTTATCTTCAAGTATTTCTCTATCTTCATTTTATAATTTTATATTGTAGTTTATTATTTTCTTTAAATATGTTTAATTTTTATTATCTTCATAAGTTATTAAATTAACATTTAATATGTAGTTCAGTTATAATTATTTATTTATCTCTTAATTTTTCTAAATAAATTTATTTTCAAAATTTTTATTTTGATATTATTTTATATTTTATATTAAAATATAAGTATTTATTTATTAATATTTTTATTTATAATTTCTATTATTTTCTTTTATAATTTTTGTTAATTCCATTATTTTCTTTTGTAATTTTTATTATATTATTTATAATTTTTATTTATCATTCTATTAATAGTTTTTTAATAATTTCTGAAATTTCTATTATAGATTTACTATTATATCTAATATTTCATTTCCATTATTTCTAATATTTCAATTATTTTCTTTTTGAATTTTTGATTATTTTTTGATATATTTATTAATTATGATATTTTTATTATTTTTCTTCTAAGATTTCTATCAGAATTTCAATTTATAAGTTTTAAAAAAATAGATAAATATGATCAATTTTTTATTCATTAGAAATATTTTTGATTTGAAAATACAGTATATACAAATTAATTGCTACCGTAGAGCACTGCACAAGATACCCTAGGTATAAATCAATTTTCTCAATTTAGAAATTGATTCGTACCCGTGGGTATCTTGTGAAAAGCAGGATACATTAAACAGTATGATATTTTAATAGGGGGGTATTATATATGGTTTATATTATAAGGAGGTACAAAATACAAATTACCATAAACTGACATATAAATAAAGCATCATACTCAGCGTTTCGCAACGATCTTTTACTTTCCGCTTCTTTATTTTCTGTATATTCCGAAAAATTGCAAAAAAATATATTATTCTTTTTTATTAATTTTACATGATTTAACTATCATATTTGTTAAGTATTTTGT